AGTAAACTGGAATTTTCTGCGCCACTATCTTGTGGAACTGAATCTACCAAATCACCAGGTGGGCATCATAGACAATTGCAACACCATTGTTTAGTAGTGCTTTGGGCTTTCAATGGCAACAGATTTGGGCAAATACCTTGGAGTAGCTTTGTATGAGAAACGGGTTACAGAGGAGAGTTTCCATGAGATCGTCAACACAGTCAAAAAATTGACTCTGAAACTAGAGAACTACAGCCCTTTCTCTTGACAAGAGAACAATATTCTCTTGGCAGTCACCTCAACTATTCCGAGCTATACCATGCAAACATCTTATCTTCCTAAGCAATTTAGATGACCAATAGAGCCGTCATATAGGGCTCCACTGCAAAAAAAACAAGAGAAAGACCCATTTAGCCGCTTGGGAGATGGTTTGCAAACCCAAAGTAGATGGCAGGTTGGGAGTTAAATGCATGAGGCTACAGAATCAAGCATTTACGGCTAAACTTGGTTGGAACCTAATCAAGTGATGTCAAGAGCTATGGGCTAGGGTGATAAGGAGCAAGTATAAATGTGGTAATGACTTGAACCTTGCTATTGACATAGAATGACGCGGGTAATTAAATATGCTATGCAGGGTACAAAGGAAGCTTGGAAGTATGCAGAAGAGGGGATTGTGATTGACCATGCAAAATAGAATAACACGCTGGAAGTATGAACTAATTCAAAAATTTCAGCATCAAGACTGCACACCAAGCTATCATAAAGGAGTCTAATGACAGCAATGAAGAATGTGTCTAACACGGTTTGACCAGTGATGCTTCATGTACGTGGTGCCATTACTACTTGGAGTCTGTGACTCATGTCCTTCGTGATTGTCCAAACACTAAGAGTTTCTGGCTTGTGCTGTTACAAGGTGCAACGAATTGCCTATGTTTCAAAGCCAATAGTGAAAGCTAGATTAAAATGTACACCATACATGGTCTTCTCTCTGATTTAAAAGAATAGGGTGAGCCTTTTCTGCACAACTGTTTGATTGCTTTGGAAAAGGCTAAACCAGTATGTCTCTGAAGGAAAAGTTCATAGCAACACCTCTCTAAAGGTTGCTACCTTTGCCACCACCATAGAAGCCATCAGGTGTGCGAACGATAAACTCTAGGGAGTAATGCCTAATGGCAGCCGAACTGTGGCTCGTTAACTGAGTTGGACACCCTCAGAGGGATGGATGAAAGTTAATACCGATGGGGACTGCTTAACACACATGGGAGGAGCAAGTGGAGGTGTGATTTGAAATAGTCGAGGGGAGTTCATATCTGGTTTCATCCTAAGGGCTTTACCGGTGATGCTTTGATCACGGAACTTTGGGCGACTTTGTTGGGGCCTAAACTAGCTTGGGATTCAGGATCAGGACAAGTAGTGTTAGAAATTGACGCAACTAAGGTCCTCAGGCTTATTAACGAGGCGGACCTCTCAACCCACGTTGATGTGTCCCTGATTGAAGAAATTAAATCTATGAGAACCAGAGAATGGACAGTTGTCTTCGAGCATGTTCCGAGAGGGAGCAACCAAGTAGCAGACCTTTTTACCAAACTTGCTATGGTCACAACGCTGGGACACCATCTTATAGTAGCTGCTGACGTGGTGGTGGAAGCGATTCGAAGAGACATGGAGGGGAGGGATGACAATGGATAGTCTCTAAGAGCTGCGTTTCTCTTTTGGTATTTAAAAAAAGATAGGAGTAACCAATGAGCAGTTGGTCGAGTTGGTAAGTGGCCTCGCCCCCTAAAGGATGAGAATGCGTGTTCAAATTCCGGGAAGCGCTCTCGCTGGGAAAGGAGACAACCACCGCTGGAAAGCCGCGACACTCCTACCCCTCGAGTTCAGATTAGTCAGTTGCCAATAGGTGTCGGATTACCGGGCGGTGTATAACAAAAAAAAAAGAAAAGAAAAGATAGGAGTAGTAATGTGGAATCAGTTTGTGTTCATCAAGGTGATGATGAGTACCTAAACTCATTAGATTTAAATTGTCCAGATTTAAAATTTTTAGTTATTTACTTTTAAATCAAAAATTATTTTTTGAAAAAATTTTAGTTAAGAAAATTTTTATTTTAAATTCTATACCCATCAAAATATTTATTTTAAACAAATAGAGTTAATATAATTTTTTGTCTCTCAAATTTGAGCCCATTTTGCTTTTGGTCTCTAAAATATCAAACTTGTAGTTTTAGTCCTTAGAAGTTACTCTATTGCAAAAGTTAATTCCTAGCTGTTAAGTTTTGTTGAGCTGGTACAAATGGTATTAGTTTGGATGATATGGCTTTTGACATAACAACATGAGGTAATTAGGTGACATGATGAACTGGACATGTAATTAGGAAAGGTTAAAAAAAAAAAAAGAGTCAGGTCTGTTTAAAATGCAGCACATGAGGACAGAGCACCTGACCCCCCCCCAACCCAAAAATTTCATGTCCAGCTCATCATGCCGACTGCAGTTGTTAAGTTAGAAGCCACATCATCCAAACCACCACTGTTTGTGCCAACTCAGCAAAATTTAATTGTTTGGGGCTAATGTTTTGTAATGGTGTAAATTCCAAGAACCAAAACCACAGACATAAAATTTTATGAACCAAAAACAAAATAGGTTCAAATCTGAGGATGAAAAATTGTATTAAACCAAACAAATAAAAAAAAAATTAATTTGGACAGTCCAAATTAAATATGAGCTATCTAGGCCTGATGAGATGCTTATCAAAGTGAGAAATACCCAAATTGATCCGTGGTAATGTTGGGCTAATATGATGGTTAGGGACTAGCCTGCCCTGATATACACGTTACAATTGGACGTTTGTGGCGCCTTTCTAATGCCTCCCGTCCTTGTCACGAGCAACTAATAATAAACAATGAAATTAATTATTTTTTTATAAAATTTTAAAATTACTTTTAACAAAAATTATAAGTTAGCGGAGTTTTAATTAGTTATGATGTTTTGCTATGTTGAAAAAATTAGTACTTTTTTTTTTTGCCTACGAAAAAAATTAATACTTTAGGCAAAGCATGTTATATTATAAAACATATCGGAATTTTTTATGATAATGACCCGAGGAAAATATTTTAAATCATGCGCTTAACTCCAAGGAATGAATGACGTCAGCCTAGCTAATAAATCCCCTTTATCTGAAGGTGAAATTCAATGCAGTAAATCTTTATATCGACTTATGGCTCATAAAATAATTATACATGGATTGATAAAATTAAATAAACATGTTTCTAGTTTTGTGGAAAATGTATATTATATATAAAAATTTTATTATATATTTTTTGCGTGAAATATCTTTCATAAGATTGAAATACTAATCCCGTTATTCATAAGTATGAATTATTTAACTGAGTGGGAGCTTCGAATTATGAGTTATCTAAAAGTTATAATTAAAGGGGATTATGTTAATTGAGATTGATTTGAATCCTGAAACATATGCTCCATTTGCGGCGACGATAATTAACATAGATTTTCGTAAATTGATAGCTAGTAATAATTTTTGTTTCTTTGTTTTATGAATAAAACAGTGCTTATATAATTTAGGTGCATTTTGCAGTTCAGTACCAAGACTTGCCCGATGAAAGCCCAAGCAATTTTGGGCTGTGCTTAGGTAAGGTAGAGTAGGATGGGCTTATCTGCCCAAGTAGTACCACTACCTTATCTATATTATGTAAAGATCTCCGCCTTACTTAATAAATAATATTTTGGACTTTAAATATGCTACTTCTGATTTTAAATATAAGAACTAGTTGATTAATTTAAATAGATTGAGAAAATAATTTAAATTATTTATTTAAATATAAGAACTAGTTGATTAATTTAAATAGATTGAGAAAATAATTTAAATTATTTATTTGAAATAAATAAGTGTTATTTTCCTAAAATATCTTCGTTAATCAAATCTATTAGCCAGAATTATCATTATTAGAAGAATTATCTTGAGGAAAAATAGATAAATATGAGAGACATAATATATTGGAATCTAACATTTAGGACCAAAATAAAAGTCAAATGAGGTTTTATATTAAGGACTGGAAGTACGTAGTATTTTATAATTTCACAACTTAGAATATTCCAAGAGAAGAAATATAAACCCTGTCATGCAAATTCTCATATCTATTTATCATTTCTTATTTTCTTATAATTACATAATCAACCACAATACAGTAGGTTTTCACACAGCAACCATGATCATATATGTCAAAATCTTAAGTCTTGAAACATTTCATTCTACCATATATGTATATTACGTATATATTGTACAATGATAGAATGAATGTATGTGTATTATATTACACAATCAAAAGATTTCGTCCAATAACTTCATTGATTGTTTTCTTATATTTAGATCAAATATAGCCTCTCATCTAACTTTCATATTAAGAATAGGAGGCCTAGGTCTAAAAAAAAGAAAAGACAAAAAGGTAGGAGGTAGTAGTATTTACATATAAAGCTTTGGATATAAATTGAACGAAAAGGGTAAAGTACCCTGCAGCATCTTGATATTATTTCTCAAGTATACTTAATACCGTAATCTTATTTATAGTGCATCCAATATTGTGATATTATTTTCCCAATGTACTCAACATTTGGATGTTAAATTTTTTGTCCAATTATATCTATCGCCGTAATCTTATTTATGATTTAGGTTGCTGAAAGCATTATAAATAAGATTAAGGTGCTGGAAGTAAAAAAAAAAAAAAAAAAAGGATGCTGAACGCATCATAAATAATAAGATTACTATACTAGATATACTTGAAAAATAAGATTAGGGTACTAGATAGTATTTTATCTAAGATAAAACAACTTAGTAACAGTTGCTCAAACCTCAGATTTATAGAAGTGGTGGATCTTTATATAAAGAAACACCTATTAGATGGTGGTACTGTCGTAGTCAAACGTGCATAGATGCATACTGGCATGCAAGCCCAGTAGCTTGCCATTATTCATATATATTACATATAGTAGTAGTACATGCCATGCATTTTTACACAGATTTGGCCAAGAGACTGTTGAATCTCCTTGATGCAAGAACCTGGCGTGCGCATTCAAAAACTTTTGTGCCCAAGGCATCCTTTATCTCAGTGCTGTAACCTGTTTTCTTGTCATAGTACCTGTTCCAGAGCATGACTCCTCCGAAGTTTGAAGATTCCGTCACGGTCGGAAGAACTTCAGACTTGAGCTCTTCTGGTGGTATGTAACCATAGGATGCTGCGGACGTCTCATTTGACGCTACTAAACCCAAGAACACTGAGCTATTAGCTAAACCTGGCTTTGACGTCCATTTTGCCCATGAGTTAAGAAGATTTGTGAAGTCGTTGTTTCCTAAATATTCGCACGTAGCCGATGGGCCATAATATAGAACCCAGAGATAATCGAAAAGACCCGTATCGATTGCACTGTCCAAGGAACTGGTATTGCAATGTGGGGCTCCCGAAATGTAAATCTTTTTGTCTTGGGTCGAACCATTGATCGCCCTCACGAGTTCGTCCCATGGCTCTGAGCGGTCTTCAATGTGGGCAAGATCGATACCGTCTAAGGTCACTGCTCCGAGAGGGCCTAATTTTCAGCTGAGAAATTTATCGTAGAGATACTGTGCTAAGGAAGTAGGGTCATCGATGGTATCCACCTCGAGGGAAAGAAAGACTTGGATGCCTATGCTTTGACAGTGCTGGATTTGTGAAGCTAGGGCGGTGCAGTTGCCGAGAGGACGACAGTGGTCTTCCAGGTTTAAGGATGTTGTGTTGCCGGAAACATGGAGGTATGCGATGGCGACGATGTTGTAGCGATTAGAGTCGCATGCATCGGTTAAGGTTCCTTCACTGGATTCGTTGTTTTGTCCCCAGTAGACGGCGATTTTCCAACCAGGTTTGCTCATGGGGAAATCAACGGCATGAGAGGGTTTGATGATGACGATGGAGGACAGTGTGAGGAGGGAAAGGAGAATGAGAACTGGTTTGTTGGAAGCCATGATAGATGATGGAAGAGGGTAAGACTGAAGCTTTTTGGGTTTAGCTTGGGGTTTCATGACGTAATGGACAATGCCTATTTATAAAAGATATGAGGGCATGGGAAGGACAAACGTGGCAACAACAAATTTAATATAATATGGGAATTGTGATAATATGAGTTATTCCTATAGTCCGCAACATAAGGGCTACTTGAACTTGAATTAGGTTATTATAACTAATATGATCTGATCTCTTTAAAATAACCTTATTTAATGTTAGATCACGTAAATTAACTAGTTTGAAAAAAAAAAAAAAAATACGTGAGATAAAATAGATTGATTGTTTACATTTAAAATCAAATTCAAGATTATAAGTGATCTCACCTTTATGAGAAGGAAAACACAAGTTTAAACCTTGAAAACACACTTCTTGCAGGATTTTAACCTTTACGCTTCCGACCCGATAAAGATTAGCCTCAAGTCTTAAGTAACTTGAAGATACTCTGAATTATACTAAAAGAACTCTTACTCCTCTGAGCTCATTTATAAAGGAGAGAGAAAAAAACTTTTTTATCCTATTTATAAGACACATAATTAAATTTTTAAAATGAATATACAATTTTATTTTGTATTTATTATTGTGTAGACTTTGCTCTTATAGAATATATTACACATTAAATAAGAATAAAATTAAATTATTAAATTTTAAGATAAAGTTAATGAGATTTAGAATGAGTTGTAAATATAGTACTAAAGCAGCATACTAGAAACAAGGGGATATTAATTATAACAAGCACGTGTATTATATGGGCGGTCGATAAAAATTCACATGAATCTTATCTCGGCGAAACTACAGCGACAGGAATTGCATGATTTCATGGTGGTTTGTGTTTTTAACCCATCGCCCACAAGACACGTACTGCATTCACGGGCTTCAGTTTTAATACATTAGGAATAAAATTATACTATTAACTGCTTGGGAGCATTGAATGTGTTTCTTTTCTTTTTTGTCAGGGGTAATGAATTCACTTCAAAAATATTCCAAGTTACTTGATGCACCTTCACGCTTAATATAAATATTAAATAATACTACAAATAATCTCACTCTATACAGAATGTAAGAAGCACTTGGCAAATTATTTTGAAAAATATTTTAAGATCCTGAAAACAAATTTAGCATAAAAATTGTATAATATTAATTATTTCCCCTAGTACTAAAAGCTACTAAATTTGAGTGGACTGAGAAAATCAGATAAATTAGTTAATATAACTAATGTGATATGATCTTCTTAAAATAACTTGAAATAATATTTAATTACATATCAATTTAATTTATAACTTAGTAAATTGGTTTTAAAAAATGACAAATATAAAAGATAAAATATATTGATGTCTTATATTTAAAATCAAATCCAACTATTAACCAACTCTTACTCCTCTTATCCTACTTATAAAGTACTTCCTCCGGTCCTATATATAAACTTTATTTTTTAGTGTGTCTAAGCATTTATTACTTTTTCCCCCCCTTATTTTGTCTTTAATTGACTGTATTTAGTACTCATTCTCTCTGATTAATATTATCCCCATGTATTCTCTTTCATCATTTTTTTCATTTATTGCCTCTCTCATTTACTCTTTTAATAAATAAGGGCAAATTTTTTAAAAAAATGTTTTTGACCTATTTATTATTTTTAACTAATTTTAACTGCTAGTTTGATCAACGTGATTCAGTTATTTGAAATTTATATATAGGATCGGAGGGAGTAAAGAAGAGGAAATTTTTTTCGTTTAATTTATAAGTCATATAATTAAAATTTTCATACGATTTCATCCTTTAATTATTATTATGCAGACTTTGTTTTCATAAGATATAGTATAGTATATTAAATAGAGATAAAATTAAAAAATTGTTAAATTTTAAAGAAGAGTCAATTGACTTTTAAGTTATTTTTTTTGACTCTGTTAATATATGCAAGAAGTGACTCGTAAATTGAATCATAAAAGTATATTGGAAGCCATAGGAAACATTTAATTCTAATAACCACGTTTTATTATGTGGGCAGGCAATAAATAAAACAAATTTTATTCAAACAATACAAAAAGTGTGTCATAAATTACTCATTCTTTTGTTAACGTAAAATTGAATTAATTAATTTGAGTAGATTAAGGATGTTAGTTAAATTAGTTAATATGATACTCATCCGATACTTAATGCATGACTTAATTGGAGTATTGATTTTGATCCTACATGTAAGATTTATTCATATATTTGTCAATTTTTTTTTCAAATTAACCATATTGACATTTTCTCAACAATAATCAAGTAGGAGAAGGAAAAAAGCAATTAAGAAAAATGGTTAGAGTGTCTTAGAAAAAAAATATTATATTAATTAATTTAACTATCAACCTTAATATACTCAAATTAGTTAATTAGGTCTTATATTAAAAATTAGAGGAGCATGTTCCTCTATAGGGCCACGGGGTATTCGTGAGATGTTTAGGGGTGTCTGCATGTGTGTGTATATATATTTTGCTATGAACATGTATCATTCTATTAGAGACAATCATGTTTGAAACACTGTTAAATAGTAAATGAGATTTATAGTTTTTCTAGTTTCCCATAAAGCATGTTGAGAATGAGTTGTAAATACTCCCTCCGGTCTTATATATGAGCTTCACTTTTGGAGATGGGTTTGATTCAAAATATAAGCTTTATTTTTGAGTTTGTTTGAATATTTATTACTTTTTTTCCTATTTTGCCCATAGTTGACTGTATTTAGCACTCTTTCTTTCTCATTAATATTACCCCCATATGTTCTCTTTCATTAATTTTTTCATTTATTGCCTTTGATTTACTCTATTAATAAATAAGGGTAAATTTGGAAAAAAAATATTTCTGACATATTTATTACTTTTAACTAATTTTAACTACTAGGTCGTTAAATGTGATTTAGTTAGTTGAAGCTTATATATAGGTCTGAAAGGAGTGAAAAAGTGGAGTTTTTTTTGTTTAATTTGTAAGTCATATAATTCAAATTTTCATATGAATATATAATTTTATACTTTAATTATTATTATGTAGACTTAGTTTTCATAGGATACAGTATAGTTAGGAATGAAAATAGGCTATGCTGAGTTAGGCTTTAGCTAAGTAGGCGAGGGCCTGTAATAAATATCTAAAGTTTGAGCCTAGGCCTGAGCCTGATATAGGTTTTGTTTTACGTATGAACTTGAGCCTTCAAAGGGCTTGATAAGGTTTGAAGCCTGTTTAAACGCCTATTTGAAATATAGGCCTTTAAATAGGTTTAAAAATCTATGCCTCTAAGTTCATATATAATCCTTTAAACCTATTTAAAAGCCTATATTATGCCTTAAAAGTCTAGAATCTGTTCTTACTTGGAATATAAGAGTCAAGCAAGAAAATGAAAAGAATGCATAGTGACAACAATTCTCAAATGAAGTAAAAATAAGAAAAACCAATCATTTGTTGACTAGATAGATATATTTTCCAAAATTAACCAAACATAACAACTGGCATGTAAAACGGATTTTATTTTGTTTGGTTTTTCTACATAAATTGTGCAAACTCTTTCCACTGAGATTATAATACTTCATTGAGGCATCATTAAAAATAACTTGCAGCAATTTTTATGCTTTAGCAAACAACAAAAACCAGGGGAAAAGAAGTAAGCTAACATTGCCATATAGAGAGATCCGAAAAAAAGAGAGATAAAGGTGAATGATTGATGAATGAAAAGGGGCTGATTATATGTAAGGATGTTATGATGTGAAACCTAGAATCAAACTAAAGTTTGTAATTTTAAAAATAATTTATAAAATTAATTTATATTATATAATATATAATAACAAAAATTTAATTAAAAAAAAGGCCAGGCCCATAGGCTTGTAGGCTAGGCCTTATGAAAATAGGCCTAAAAATAGGTCTGATATGCTAAATAGGCTAGGCTAGACTATGCTTTATGTAGGTGAGACTATAGGGGCCAAGCTTATTTTCACCTCTTGTATAGTATATTAAATAGAGATAACATCAAAACAATTGTTAAATTTTAAGAAAGAATCAATCCACTTTTCAGTTATTTTTTAATTCTGTTAAAATAGGTTAGAAGTCAATTGTAAATTCGATCATAAAAGTATATTTGAAATCATAGGAAATATTAATTATAACGACCACGTTTATTATATGGGCGGCCGATAAATAAAACAAATTTTAATAGAAGAATATAAAAAGTGTCATAAATCTTGTCTCCTCCAGGTTACGGCGAAAGGAATTATACTCATTCTATTCTTAATATAAAATTTAATTAATTAATTAGAGTAGATTAAGGATGTTGGTTAAATTAGTTAATATGCTACTTCTCCGGTCCTTAATAATGTATGACCTAATTGGGTAATTGATTTTGGTCTTTTATGTAAGACTTATTTCATATATTTTTTAATTTTTTTCAAATTAACCATATTGACATTTCCTCAATAATAATCAAGTAGGAGAGAAAATGAGAGAATTAATGAAAATGGTTAGGGTGTCTTAGAAAAGTATATCATATTAATTAATTTAACCGATGTCCTTAATCTACTCAAATTACTTAATTATGTTTTATATTAAAAATTGGAGGAGTATGCTTTTTTAAAAATATTTTAAGCATCTTCCTTAATTTTCTCCCTCCCTCTCCTACTTGATTATTGTTAAAAAATATTAATAGAATTAATTCGAGAAAAAATTGGTAAACATATTAAATAAATCTTATATATAGGACTAAGATCAATTCACTAATTAGGTTCTATATTAAATACCAGAGAAGTAATTTTTATTATGGATGATGATGATGATGATTTAATTTTAAATAATATTCTCCATTAAATTTGCGTCTTAACTCTTAACACATTGCCAACACACACGAATTCCATTCACATCGCCTTTTAGAAGCCATGATCGGTGTGAGGGTAAATTGGTTTTACCGGTTAAGGCACACGTTGTCCATTATATTTCTATAGGGCCCCGGGAGTTCCAAATATATCCGTGAGATGTTTAGTGGGGTGTGTGTATATATATTGCTATG